GGGGGGAGTTGGGGGAGGGGGGGGCGAGGGAGCGCTGACGTGGCAGAAGTTGGCCGGCCACGTCTCAATGATCCTTCTGCAGGTTCGCCTATGGGAACCTTGTTACGACTTCTCCTTCGTCTTCGTGATGAGGTTCAATGAACTCTCACGCCGCCAGCTGCGCCGTGTCTGCCGGAGTAGTAGTGGATCGGCCTGTAGGAGAACTGCAGCGGTTGGAGTGCCGCCGGCATCGCCGTTACCAAGGAGAAAGGCGCCAGCTTGGATGCCGGGTGTATCCGGTCACCTTGATGGACCAGGTGCAGATGCAAGGATGGAGGTGGCTATCCGGAGTTGTGGGATAGAGAGAGGGGGGAGGGAGGGAGGGAGCAGAGGTTCGAAACCTGCTCCGATACCAATGTGACGCACGTGCGAAGGGCACGTGCGGAGAGAGGGAGAGAGAGAGGAGATGGACACACACATGAAGCAGCAGCTGAATGAAGGTCCAGTCCGGCAATGAACGAACGAATGAACCCCCCGCGCCCTGGGCCTAGGCCGAAGTGATATACCGGCCTAGGTCCAGGTACGGGATAACCTGGTACCGGACCAGGGTCAGGCCGACGGCCTGAAACTGGTCCGGCCTCACCGCCGGGCCGTAGGGGTACCGCTACACTCCTCCTCCTTCTATGCGTCCGCGTCGCTGTTGTCAAAATTATCGGAGTTGTCATCATTTTCACGACATCTAGTCTGCGGTCCAAATGCGCACACAATTTAAATCAACGCTGGCCGTCTCGCCGCGTACAGTCAAGAACACGCACAAGAACACAGCAAATTGGGCAAGCGAGCGAGTGAGCCACAGAGAGAGAGAGAGAGAGAGAGAGAGAGAGAGAGAGAGAGAGAGAGAGAGAGGAACACTCTGACAACCACATTATCATTGTCATCAACATCATCAATATTATCGTCATCGGAATTATCGTTATCGTTGGTGGCGACGCAAGCAGCAGCAGCAGCAGCAGCAGCAGCAGCAGCATGAGCATAAGCATTTTGATAGCGGGAAGCGGTGTCTCTAACTCAGCTTCACGGTGTGGTCGTTGAATGAAGCTCGACACGCAAACGTCTAGACAACAAACACACATGAGCACGCGCATGGGGGAGAGAAAGCGGAAGGCAGACGCCAACAGTGGCAGTGACCATGACGGATGGGGGAAAGGGAGATCCGAATAGTCGCGGCAAGGAGGGGGCGGTAGGAAAGGGGGATCCGAATAGGAGGGGGCTGTAGTCATGAAGGCATCAGTAACGTAAAAAAAGGCAAGTCTAAACAAAAAAGAATGAAAACGAGAGGGGCTGTCTCTTATACACATCTAGATGTGTATAAGAGACAGGGAGGAGGGGGGCGGGAAGGCGGGGGGGAAGTCACGACAAGGAGGAGGCGGTCGGAAATGTAAAAGGGGATCAAACGACGGAGTGAGTCACACCAGAGGCGCTTGATGGCGGTCGAGATGCTATGCTAGATGCGTCTGTTCTTCCCCTTTTTGCGCTGCGACGTTGACGGTGATATCGTTCGCGGGCCTCATGTCAAACATAGGTCACACAGGAGATCATAACAAGCGCACTCTCGGGCACACACCGCGTGGGCATTGCGCGCGTCTAGACATGCACGCTCGCTCGCGCGCACGCGCGCACACACACACACACACACACACACACACACACACACACGGACCCTCACCACGCCTTTCAGCACCGCCAACAACACAGAGAGAGAGAGAGAGAGAGAGAGAGAGAGAGAGAGAGAGAGGGGCACATGGAGGGTGAAGGGCAATCGACCTGCACATAATCGTATTCGAGAGAGGTTGTGTTCTGGGAGGATTTTTGTATTTCGATTGTTGTTGGATTCAGCATGCCGATTTCTCCAAACACAACGCACCCTCATCATGAATGTATACAGACTATCTTTTAGGCCGTATACAGTCATAATGAGGGTGCATTGTGTTCTCTAGAAGACGACCGTAGTGTGCATTCATTCACGTCAGAAAAAAAAAAGACGAGCAGCCACCGCAGTAGTCGGCACTATATAGCGGAAATTGGCCAAGTACAGTTAATTTGATATGACTGTAGTAATTCGATTATCCAATTTGATATTACTGTAGTAATTCGACAGACTCTCGCTCGGCTGGACTTGATTAAGTTCATATTTAGTTTAGTTAATTAGTTTAATTAATTGATTCTCAAATTAGTAAATGAGAATATAATATTATTGGGCTGTTCAATTCTTCGCCAGCTTTACGGCCTCGCCGCGCCAATCAGCAAATAGGAAAAATCCAAAAACTACAATGACTATGACGGATGTATCGATCGACGTTCTGGCGGAAGATACATTCTCCATTTTGCACATTTAGTCAGTAGTGCAGCCTGGCGTAAATGGTTTCAGAAACAAGTATTATAGTAATTCATAAAAAAAAAAAAAAAAAAAAACGCGCTGTGTGATTGGTAGAGAAACACGTCCTTAGAGGACATCAGGAGAGATTAGCATGGCCCCTGTGCAAGGATGACACGCATAAATCGAGAAAAGATCCAATTTTAAAATAAATAAAAATAAAAAATCGTTAGAGAAACACGTCAAGGGATATGGATGGAAAAGGAGGGCATCGCCAAAGCAGCCAGTATCTGCATAAGATATGCCACACACCCCAACATGTATTTATTTATTTATTTATTTACTCATTCATTTATTTACTTCTTTTTTCACTCAGGTTTAGAGAAAGCAAGGAAGGTGGGCGAGGAGGGTGAAAGTAGGCTAAAAGAAGTGACAACGACCAGCAGAAAGAGCGGTGCGGAAGATAAACCATGGTTTTCGTGAAACGCGTTGATTTCTCTTTTTTTTTTTTTTTTTTTTCCTTTTTTTTTTTTTTTTTTTTTTTTCTTTTCCCCCCCCCCCCCCCCCTGTAGAGACTGCTGTGTTGCATTCATGCTTCTACCTTCTTGCGAGGACAGGAGTCAACTTACACGTGCAATATGGTTAGGTGACATATCTATAGATAGATAGATAGATGCTTGTATGCATGTATGTGGGCATATCTATATTCGTATGCATATATATAGATATATACGATACATACATAAATACATGTACATAATCAATTCGGAACTAGTATATGCAATTCGGAACTACGCAGGAACCTGGTCGACAAAGCAGACCAGGTTCACGTTGGCTCAATAAATGCCAGACGACGAAAGTTCCGACAGCAAACAGCAGGGTATGTAACGATCCCTCCTCCTAGTTGCAGTCCCATCCGGTCCAACCCCCCCATTTATCCCCCCCTCCTCCTCTCCTCCCCCCCCCACCCCCCCCCCCCCCCCCCCCCCCCCCCCCCCCCCCCCCCCCCCCCCCCCCCCCCCCCCCCTTTCTGCCCTTCCCACAGCACCTTCCCGCCCAACTGCGCGCGCTTTCGAAACCACACTGCGCGGGTCTATGAAATTTTCATTTTCCGTTACTTTCTTTTTTTCAATCTGATCAGAACAGATACTCCACTTGATCCTTAGCCAAAAGGTCGAGAAAGGTTTGATTCCTTTTGTTAAATTACTACTGTAATGCTGTAATGTATTATGGACGTGACACGTGATTTCATCTTTTTTTTTTTTTTTTTTTTTTTTTTTAATTTTTTTTTACCTCTGTCCACGCCCGACTTCCATTCTCGCTCTGCGCAACTTTGGCCATTTTGCGTGACCCCGCCGGCACCACTCTGAGCACAGCATCCTCAGACCATTTCACGACGACGATGCCTCCTTCGTCTTCCGGGACCACCATCTTACAGAACTCCGGCGAAGAGCTAGAATGCGGAGGAAGCTTGAGCTGTCCGTGGACAACGAGCTCCTCCTTCCCCGTTTTCCGCCTGAATTGGCGCAGCTCCAAGCGCCCGCGCTTGTCCACGCGCAGCGTCGCGGAACCATGCTGCACCTCGAGGAAATCCCCATACAGCACCGCCTTCAGGATCGAAGGCTTGGTATCCATCGTCGGGGTACCGACGGTCCCAGAGGAGGAGGAGGAGGAGGAAGGAAGGGAGGAGGAGGAGATAGAAGAAGAAGAAGAAGAAGAATCGCGGGCCTCGCTTTGCGAGTCCGCGCGAACTCTCTCCGCCGCCGTCGCGCTCAGCAGCAGATCGGCAACAACGGCGGAAACTGGGGGGGACTCCATAGCCAGGGGAGAGGAGGATTGAGAATCATCGACAGGATGATGATGATGATCCACGTGGCGGATCCAGGGGCGATCCGGCGGGCCCTCCAAATCCACTTCCGCGGCGGCAGATTTCGTTCGACGTCCGTCGGCGGTAGAAGAGGCGGAAGCTGTTGTTGTTGTTGAGACTGCGGAGCTCGCGCGCCGGTGCCCCCGCCCCGCTCCCCCCCCGCCTTTCCGCCCGCCTCCTCCTAGCTCCAACGACCGCGCTCGCGACTCCGATATTACCTGGAATGATGATGATGATGATGATGATGATGGCTTCACGCAAATCGTCCCCAGTTTCGTCTTGTTAAAAAACACTCCGCCGCTGCATTCTCGTCCGTAAACGTGGGCGCGACACGTGGCGGCGGTGCTCGTCCAGCTTTGTGCACTCGCCGCCGCCGCCGCCATCGTAGTCCGCGCAGCGCAACACGCATCCATAGCCAGGGGGGTTAAAACACTCCGTGCCGAGCTTAGCTTTTCACTCGCCCCTTTGCTTCACTCCGCGCCAATTTTCCCCTGGGGTGCGGGTGGTACTTCAGCAGCTCCTGCGTGAGTGCCCGACAGCCGCCGGCTCAGGGCAAACTCGAACCGCGACTCTTTCCTCAATGAATCTGTCCGCAATTCAGGTCAGGTACATGCGACATTCCTAATGTAAGTGAGTAATGACTACTACGCCAACAGAAACAGAGTAGCAGATCCAGAAAGCAAATTCTGCAGCCGGAAAAAAAAAAAAAAAAAGAAGACGATGCCCGCCCCCTTCGATCCGATTCCTCCTTTTTTTCTCCTTTGGAGAGGTCATCATCATTCTTCGATTTTTTTCAATTGTTCTTTTTTATTTTTTGATATTTTCAATCACTCTCTTTTTTTCCTTCTGTTCCATCTCTACCATCGCTTACTAGTAATTCAATTGCCGTATTAGCAGTATTGCCCCTCAAACTCCAATTTCATCACTTAATTACGGTACTACCCCTCAAACCCAATTATCAATTCTTTTTCACTTAAAATAACGGTGTTTGTTGAGGATTCCCGCCCGGCCTCAGAGTTTTATTTTGAACAAAGGATCCCCCACTTTTTCCCCCCAAAAAAAACAAATAATAATAACGGTATTATCCGTCAAATCCAATCATCAGTCAAGATCAAATCAGCATTCAAATCCAACAACGCGTGGGCGTACTCACGCACATCATAACTGTACGTGGGTCGAACTGCAAGTCTAGATACAGCCACGATAGTGACCGTGAATCCTATCCGGGGACAGGTACGGAAAACAGCCCACGTGGACGCTGGGCCTGTTTCCCAGTTTAGTCCTCATAATCCTTCTAGTACTGTATTGGGAATGATTCTTCCCTTTTTTTTTCTTTTTTTTTTAAATGTGGCCCGATGGACCACGGTTCTTCCCTTTTTGCTGGTTGTTGATTTTCATTGTCCAGTTGACCACCTTTTTTTTTTTGCTCCATTCTATTCGTGGGGAGCGGCACGTGTTGGGAACCGGGCCCAACGTCCCTTATATTTTAATAAACGAGGCCGGGTTCCTCACAGTCTACCCGCCGGATAAGAGTCCAAGATCCGATTCATACCAGTAGAGGGAGGAGAGCCGACATGAGGGGGCTGAAAGATAGTAAGATGTAAATATCTAACTGTTCCTGGGAAAGAGTGACACTGTCAAGAAAAAAGAAAAAAAAAAAAAAGAGAGTGTCAGGCCCTCTCAGCCTGAGGCTGCCTGATGGGAAGAATACCGATCTAGGCCAGAGGTGGTCTGTCCCACAGGAGGAGGTCAGTATAGTGTAATCTGTCTCTTTGTCCAACAAGTCTGCCCATCTAAAAGGTGACGCCCATTTTTTATGGAAAAGCTGCCTGGCTACCTCTCTCTGGATTCTGTCTGACGCTTAATTCTAGTCCAGTCAGCCATTATTTCCAACCTGATGGAATGCTTGAATTGAGAAATCAGGGGAACAAAAGGAAGGTTCAGTGTTTACTTGAGTTTGCAGCTCGGGGACGCTGGACCTGGGGCAAGGTCCCACTTGCACGGATTACGAGAATCTGGCCGTTGATCTTTGCTATCTACGGTCAATATCGCTTAATTCGTGTAGGTGGGACCTAGCCCCCGGTTTCCAGCAAACGCACCTCCGGGTTGAGATGTCGAGGGAATCCCGGCCTCGTTTTGGCATTATGGAATATAATGCAAATTAAAAGAAAAAGAAGAAGAAAAAAAAAGCAAAGCAGAGGGAAGAGAAAACAGAGAAAAAGCAACGATCGCACACCCTCTTTTCATTTTTGGACCTGTCCAGCAAGCACGTCCAGATTCAGGCGTGGCATCACATCCTCTTTGCTACCTTCTTCCGCCGAATACAACGTACGGTCATTATAGCTGTACTCGAGGCGTCTTTCAGCCTA